TAAATGTTGCGGTAAACAAGTTGAGTAATGTACGGCAATAAAAAAACAAACATTGACGAATACGAAAACACTTAGGTATGTATGGGGTGAATCTAGCGCAAGTGAGATCACCTAGTGATGATATGACTGTAAAGAATAAGACAGCCATGGGAGTGCGGTGGTGGGGTAGCAAGTGTTGAGAGAGCGCTAGAACGAAGACACACGAAACCGGAATATTCGCTGTGCGGCCACCTGCAGCAGCAACACACAACACTGCCCTACAATACTGGTATGCACTGACGATTTGTGATAGGAGACGGACAATAAACCGAGAAGAGGCGGACACAACGATATTATGACTCATCAACAGGTGCTAGCATGGCGCCTATTCCAACCACGGGACCGGTATAACTCCTCACCAAAGCGCAACATGCCGACCTCGACACCCATCACGACCGCTCGCCCATAAATGGACTTTCAGTCACATCGACGCTAGTGCTTTCATCGCTTTATTTTTGAAGTGCAAATGGCATGAGGCGTTGCTACGAGGGTATAGGACTATAGACAAGTGGCCGTATATATCGCCAACGGGGAACTCGTCCACAAATTTTCGTCCAACGCCATGCAGAAAACGGGGTTTTCCGCAAACTTTCAACAATTCAATATCGCTTTTCCACCAGTCAAAGGTGTGAAACACGATAATTTGGTACTTCTCCAAAAATAGTAGCAGAGGTGCTACATGGTGGGAAAACTCTAGCGTGAGGTGCACTCAATACCGACACCACTGGTCAGTCAGCGGACACTAATTGCACCATCTTCTCCGAACCTATTTTCTGCCAACTTCTTACGAATTTCGCGGAGTTTTTTTTTCAAAAACTCTCCACTTTTCCTGGGAAGAAATTGCCATTATGCTGGAGGGGGTGGGGGGAGGGAGGTCTAGGATATAGCGCTTCTCGAAACAGTCAAAAAGGAAAAAAATTCATTACCCGGAAACATTTTTCACAAGGACAAAAACCACTGAGTCCCTCCAGCGATCTGATACGACCCCTCTCACTAGGGATGTCCACGTATGACGTACCTTGGCAGAAGTACCTTTGGCGGTCATTGTGGTCCGCCACACATTATTGGAATAGTGCAGGATGTCTAGCCAGAGCTCACTATCCGTTGCCATCTGTTCTGTAGAACACAAAAAGAGGTCGTATTTTCAGCCGCTGGAAAAAGGGTATCTTTTCCGCTTCTCGCCCATTTTGCCTGTTGGTTCTGCTCGACGGCATGTGTTCTGGGAAAGGGAACAGGATCATGATGTGCGAGATGGTGGTGTCAGTACGACCCTCCCCCTTCCCCAACACCTATCTCCACTTTCCCGCGATTACATTTCCCAAAATTTCCCGTATTTCCCAGCTTTTCATTCAAGGATTTTTCGTCTAGGGGGGGGGGTACATTGCCAGTGTGTAACGGGAAAAACTACGAGAAATCAGCAACCAGGATTTTGTTCCAAACGCGGCAAATCTCTCTCAGAAAGCAATTTCTCTCAATCAAATACGACTCCCCCCTTTCCCAACAACGATTACAACGACCGAATACGACCCTCCTCCCCAGCGGCCAAGTACGAACTTCCATGTGTTTTACCCAACGATCCTCCTGTCTGGGAAACTTTGGTAAGATGGTAGGCAGCATGGGAAACAAGGTCATGCCAGAGGGGAACTTCTGCGAAAAGGTGATCCTTTGCGAAAATTTTCTCCACAGCGTAATAATGTGCCCTTTGTCTTTCACTCGAAATTCCAACGCGGTACCGAATTTCTTTGCCTTACATTGTCACCAATGCTACCTTAGATGACGTTCAGCAGCGGAACCAATTCTCATCCATAACAATGAATTTTTTCAGAACTGCGGTACAGCTGGCTCGAACTGGAAACCATGCATAGAAAGAAAAGTTGCTGATCAGGTGTTTGGCTCGTGCTGTGAACGATTTGTTCCACCTGAATGCCGTGGCTTGTGCATCTATGAAACGAATGCAATCGAAGCAAGAGTCGTTGTGAGTATACGAATCTAATTATACAAGTCTTGTAGTCGAGTAGCAGTGCAGTAAGCAAATCAGAAAATGATGTCAGTCAAGCACATTTCATCATACCTTACTATTTTGTTATTCTTCAAGAGTTCTTTTCTTTGCGTCGCTCGTCGCTTAACGACATCCGTTGATAGCTAGTTTTTTTCGGTCTACATTCCTAGTAGCGCCTTTTCTTGGGGAAGGTAGATCGGGGGATGCCACGCGGCCGCGGTTAGGTAGACGAGATGACAGGCCTAAGGCTGCGTTTATACTTCGCGGCAGCGTAGCGTAGCGTCACTAGCCTCTCGTTAGTGTTTGCAGCGGCGGGGCTAGAGAGTATAGAAGAGTAGGAGAGTATTTTGTACTCTCCTACTCTTCAATACTCTCTAGCCCCGCTAGCGTTTGCCAGCGGCGGCGCTAGAGAGTACAGAAGAGTAGGAGAGTACAAAGTACTCTCCTACTCTTCTTACTATCTAGCCCCGCCGCTGCAAACGCTAACGAAACGCTAGTAAATGCTCGTGAAATGCTGGGAGACACCGATAGCTATGCTTCTCGTGCCCTTGCTACGCTGGCGTGCGCTGGCGCTACGCTAGCGTACGCTGGTGACGCTGGGAACACTAGATCGGTATCTATCCTTTCCCCGACACTGCCGCTGGCGTACGCTGGAAGCCCTACGCTACGCTACCGCAGAGTATAAACGCAACCTAACTTTTTTGGAGCGTAACGTTCAATTTTGAGCTGCATTCTCTCAGCTACTTCACGTTAGCCCTTAACCCCTTAGTTGTACACTCATTCGACTTTAGGTCGGTTGAACCACCAGAAGTCGTTATTTCGTACCACCAAAAAGGGCGGTTAGGTCAGGCTGCATTAACCTGTGCGGTGCTACGTAGTCCGGACAAGGACGGTTCTTCCACAGAAGTCACTCAGCGGCTTTTTCTACTGTAAACTACTGTCTTAACTTCGCCCATGTCCAAATCAACATGAAGTTGAAATAGTGGTGTGCAATAGAAACCACCCTCTCCTAAGTCAGATTGAAGACAGTGCAATCCCAACTTTTTCTTGCCGAGAGGTTGCAGGCACGCACACATAATGTCTGTAACCACGTTCAAACATGCAGCGGCGTAAAATTTTCGCGCTGCCTCGTGGAGAACTCAAACCATTACTGCCCCAGAAACTATAGTGAATTCCATGGGAGAAAATGCCATTTCAAGAAGTGGGAATCTTCCTCGTGGTACGTAATGCAATGGCTATAAAAACGGCCCACTAATCTCCTGAAACTCAAGGAGGGAGCGCCGCTTATTCACAACATACGGTCAACACATGTGCTGTTCCAAAGTAAAGCGGGAACTCGTTCCTCCTCTTCTTAGCACCTCATCTGGTTTCCGGGTCTCGTTTCGATAGCAGTTTCTTGTCTTTCTCTTCGTTTGCATATTGCAGGCCGAAACTTATTCCAATTCCATTACGAGAAAATGGAACAATTGCTGAGCCAAACCACATCATGATGCTGGGAAAATTTTTCTTTGGGCGCCTACTTCCTCCCTCCATCCTGAACTCTGTTGAACGGTGCAGAGAGAACAGACATCCGATAAACCATCAGAAACAGAAATGGGACGGAAAGCGGAAAAACTAAAAAACTTCACCAGGACAAGTATGACCTCCTCAGTGCTCTGCGGTTGAAACCGACTTTTTTTCGTGTTAAGGAACTTCCGAGCTGAATGAAAAGCTACAGTTGCGTCGTAGCGGAGGATACAAGAGGGTGATTATTACGAGGAGGCGTCGCTTCGCAATCTGAATCATAAACTGTCGTCAAACTTAAAAGTGAAACATTCCATCGGAAGTTTGCGCATGCTTGCTGCCAGTTGACATGCTTGACTCATTTTATGTTGAACAGTGAGACAGATCAACAACCGCATAATTGAGCGTGATTCATACGCCCAAAACTTTAATCGAAATGGTACTGTACTGTCGACATTCGAAATGTCATATAGACGGTAACAAAAAAAAAGTGAGATGTGCTCTCCGCCACCCTCTTTTGTCTGGTTTCTCGTACGCGCGCACACTGCCTCTCTCGCATAGCACCATTGCATACTCGCTCAACACTGAGTACAAAAAGAGGAGTTTCGTTTGAAGAGAAACTGTACACTAACCTCCAAGGACGACCCTTGCCATATGCTAGGTGAATGGGTTTGCAAATGCTGTTGTGTGATACTTTCTCCATCAAAACATGTATGGGACCAGGTTGACGGGGAGCGATACCCGGGTACTCTACGTTTTCCGCTGCACTATCTCGAGCTTAGCCACTTGCGTCGATACCAGAATCCCGTCGATAGCAAGAATCTGATATTTGCGAGTGCAGCTGCGCTTGGACTTGATGACCTGAAGGTGGAGTGCGACACGTGATTGTAATTGGTTGTTCGTGATTATTCCACCAGTTATCACCATTTCAGCCTCCAGAAGCGATTCAGCTTTGGAAACTTCGCGCTTCCGTTAAATGCTTATATTAGAAGTCTAGAAGGCCCTTTGAGTAATACTTTGTGTGTGAATGTCGTGTATGCGTATTTGTGGGCACGTAAGGGCGAGGGCATTACACTCCTTATCTCTGAGACGGAGTAGCCGTGGCATTTGATGGCATAGAATGGGCTACTTGTAGGATATCTCAGTTTGAGACAAATGCCACCTTATTCAGTGTTGGACCGAGACAGGAGCACAACTGTGTCGAAATGAAATTACCTCACCAGAAGCACAGCCACCGCCACCTTTAGTTCTATGTGGTGAGCAGCCACGCCTACCGCATTACAAGGATTTCGAGTGTATGCGTGGGTGTGCGTGTGTGGGCGTGCGTGTGTGTTTCAAAAAAGATAATGAACAGTACTCGCTTGGATCAATCAGAAGAATCCCAAAATTTTCCAAATTTTTGAGACAGAACTCGATAATTCAAAGTTCGGTTGGACGCGTACACTTTGTGTTTCAGCTCATGCACACGATCCAGCCTTCTCGTTGTCGTCTCTACAAGTACTTGCCATCAATCGTTCATTGTGCTGCTCAGACTCATGACAACACTGAATGTTGTCGTGCAAATGGAGTTGCTCAAATTGGTGAACAATGTCTTCAGATGTGCCAGCCACAGGTAAGATTCTATCCTACATTTTTTGTAGATGGTGTCAGATAGTAACCACAAGGTCAGTTATCTATTCACCTGCCCCACCTTTTCAACTGTCTCTCGCGAACACCACATTCCCACTCCCCTTCACTTTACTTACTCGAAATGATCTATAAGCCCGACATTCATCCCAAGAAGGCTAGGTTGCTTGGTTTGTAGAGACAGGTTATGTCCTTGTGTTGCCTAGACACAGGTCATCCGTCTGCTTTTCCAACAATCAGTGTGAACACTAAGACTGCGTTTATACCATGCGACCGGAGCGGTTTGATAGCGCCACCACGAGCGATAGCGCTCCAGCGCCAATCATTGGAGCGCCTAGGAAGCACACAAAAGTTCCATCTTAACGTGACTAAGATAGCACTAGCAGCAGCCCTACAATCATTGATGAAGCACAGTCTACCACAAAATGCTGAGTTGTGGGCGAAAGTCGGACCAACGAACGGGATTCGCTAAGCGGGCGGTTGCGTTCCCTATTACGCTACCGGAGCCACTCTTGCCCTCTCAGCTCAATGGCTATTTGTGCCATTGCCGGAAGCGGCAAATGCGGGTTCGAATACCGTCCGCGGTCCGACTTTTGCCCACAACTCAGCATTCTTGTGATAACTTTTGGATCGCGCACTGCGGCGTTAAACAGCAGTCATTATGCATTAACAGCCTGAAGCACAGTCTGTCGATCTCGCGCGATTCTCAAGTCGCGCAGCTGTATCGCGAAGTATGAACGTGCCCTCAGACACCATGCGATTTTTGCGTTTCGACTTTTGGCAATCGAATTATCCCTCCTGCACGATTTTGAAACTCCGCTCCAATTACGAGTTCGAGAATAAAGATCGTCGCTCAGATTCTTCGGCTCGTCTCGACCCCAGCCTTAAGCTCTAAGACTTACACAAAGGCGGTCCTCGATATACGCATTTCCGATTACCGCAACTCCTGCAGGTGTCAAGACATTTAGCCCTGAAATTAGGACCAGATTTGACAAAACCTCGAGAATGTTCATAGCGCTCCAAATCTCTCCTCAGACACGGGTGCACCTATACTCCGGAAAACAGACGATCACTGTGAGACTATTTCCCAGATATACGATCGGTTCAAATAGCAAGCTATTGACGGGCCCTCCAAGATGTGCAGATCTCTGGGAAATTCGCCTGTTGTATCCCAAAAAGCCACACATGCTTCTATTTTGGAGCATCCCTTCTGTATAATCTCCGATCTCCATGCCACAGTTGATTCCGCAGTTCGAATTGCCCTTTCAGGCACTCGTCTGACTGCGAGCGCGGATTTCATGTGCGCAAAATCGATATTTGCTTGTATCTGCTTAACGGTGGCATATCGCGGGAATTACACTATGGCTGGTGGCATTTTCGATCAATACGACCCCCCTTTCCCCATCCTACCCACCTTTTTTCTAGATTTTCTCAACTTTGTACCACTTTTCCCAATTTTCCCGGAATTTTCCGAAAGTTTTCTACTTTTTTTTTCGCTGTAGAGCGGTGGGATGGGGGAGGGGGACGCAGGGACAAGTTTCTTTCGGAGGCAAACACAACCCTCTCCCCTCCTCCCATCAACAAGCAAATAGGATCCCTCTCATAGCGCCAGTGAAATAAGAAAAATCAACTATCAAAAAAATTCTCGGACCGAGTACGACTCCCCCCCCCGCCTCCAACAACTAAATACGCCGTGCCCCCGTCGGGGATTCCCCTACGTACGACGTGATCTGCTTACGATATTGCAAACCCTACTGGTCACTTTTCCTTCCCACACATTTGAGATTGAATATGCCATCTTTTCAGGAGAATCCACGACGTTTCTGGGGTGCAAAATCCCTGCGAAAGGATCTTGTGGTATGCCTAGCAAAATGGGATCAAATTATGCAATGCCATCAATCTGGTCTTCGTGCGAGGAAAGTACCCCGACCAACTGTTTAAGACAATGATTCACCTTCCATTGCCTTATTATTATCTATTGAAGGGCAACTTTCAATATCGCTAGGGTTCCGCATATGATCAGAATTACGTTCCTTGCCGTTCAATACAGTCTCTCCAAGCAACAATACATGTATTGTGAAAAATGTGATGAAACTTGTCATTTCTGCGCTATAAATTGTTTTTTCTCTAGAAACCAAGTTTTCGCTGCCATTGCTTTTTATTAGGACTTTTCAGATCATTTATGTCAGCGGTGAGCAGAATAAAAGATAAAATGTCTGCCTCAATCAGATCTGTCCACACGCGCCATGCGCTTCACTTGCATTGAAAGTCATAAAACCTGAATAGTGGAAAAAGAAAGAAAGACGTATTCCAGAATTCACATTCCTAGGCGAGCGATCTAGTGGAAGGAAACCTCCAGCGGGTCCTCGTTCGTGCAACTAACCATGACCGCCCACTTAAGTGCACGTCCCACCCGCTGTGGGCGGAGCTTAGCTTAACTCACGTGTGTTCCGTGTATTTTGACCGGTGCCGCATCTATAGCAAATTTGACAAGCCCCTTAAAGAGGTTTTCATCGCGATTCTCCCTTTCTGGTCGGTCACACAAACATACAGTGGTGATCCATATAACTGTATGACGCGGCGCGGTTGGCAGCGCAGCCGGGCCTTATCCCAACAAAGATATCATCCAAAGTCCGCTACGATTGGTGAAAAAACTGCTCTGGCCAAGCCGCGTGCAAGCCATGCGCGTCCTGTCAACTATCATTTGCGGGGACAACGACTGTACAAATATACAGACAACGTCTGGTTTATATATGAATAGATTTCCATCCATTGATTCCTCTGCGGGCGTTTTGAATTTCGGATTTCCGCCCTCGCTGCCGTCTTGGAGAGCACAGGATGATCAAGATCAGCTGCAAGACGCCAGAGGTGACTTGCCCTGAATAGCATGGGACCACAAGACGACCGTTTAGAGAGCACAATGGCACAATGGCAGAGGAGCAACGCAGGCAGGCATTTGCCTCATGGGCCTACGTGGCATGCCTACAGCCAGCTTCCTGCGCACTTCCGAACCACAAAACGGTATGTACATGGCAGTTGCGGACTCACTAGTTTCCTGCTAGATGAGTGGATTGGGCGTTTCCCTAGTCGCGGAGTGTGCCTTCAAGTTCGTCTTTCAGCCCTGAGGATTGATTTTTGAAGCAAATATCAAGAGCATCACCCCCTTTTTGAACGCGGTACTCATTCTACTTACATTTAAAATCGTAGTGGCTTTGTAGGCTATAGGCTTATACAGTGACTTGCGAGGGCCAGCCAATGTATAAGTCAAAGTCCCCATCCTCCAGACGAATCTAGTGGCGATTAACCGCCCTGGAGAGTAACAGGTTCGATTGGTCTGAGCGGGAGCCGTTGGGATTTGTACCCAGGACCGCACGCGTGGTAAGCGTGCCACATGCAACCACAGCACCTCCGCTCATATGGAATATATGGGATAAAAGCATTGATCAGACTAGAATGGATTCCTTCTTGAATATGGAGTAGATGCGCATTGACGCTTCTAGAAGGCGATCTATCCTCTCCATTTTTACTACATAAGCTACATAGACTTGCTCTCGGCTGGACAACGCACGCGAACGAAATAAGACCATCCATTGTACAAGACAAGGACAGGAAGCTGTGTAACTTCTCGGGACAAGAACGTATCGACGCCATTTCCCAAGTTCCAAGGTCGAGGACGTACATATGCTTTATACGTTGAGTCATCCCGTTGCGTTTTTTCCTTGTCTGTCCAATACGGCCGCTTTTTCATCGTTTGTTGCTAACGGTTTCTGCCCGCCTACAGCTGAATTCATCTGAAGGCTTTGCCGTTATTAGCTGTACATTCCCTTATGAAGCGAGCTTTCCGAAGAAGTCTCCCTCACTTTTTGCCATTTCTTTGATATGCACTTCCTACTTCTCATGTTCTACGTTTCTATTCTGACAACTGTTTCTTTGCTTTCTACCACTGGATATATTGGGTCACTGAAAAATTTAATGGGATTGGAAATTCATGGCCTTTATGAATTTTAAATGTAGCCCTAGAAAGAAAGGCTTGGGACAAGCTGAAAATGGTGGCACCTTCCAACAGTTTTGACAGTTTTGCATTTTTTGGTGGTTGGTCGGTAGAAACACCACAAAAGCAACCGTGTAACCTAATTGATCAGTTAGACCACTTGATAACCAAAGCACATCTTCATTGTGGGGTGGGGGAGGGGGAGGGACAGGGAAGGTGGGATCCATTCGATTGGTTTCGTGTTTAACCGCTGAGTTGAGAAGGATCGTATACATGAACAAATTCGTCAAAAAAATATTAGAGAAGTTTCGAGAAAATCTGTTAATAGTGCGATTGCGATTCTCCCACCATTTGCAGCGGGCTCAGGATGGCGTCATTGGTGGAAAAAGAGCAAACTGGCTGTATGCGATCCGCGCCGCGTCACACGCCCCATCGTTTATAAAGATCGTGACTGTATTTCGCTGTCCCTGCAAAGGAATTGCTTTTCTATTTCTATTTTTCTATTTTCTGGTGATATAAGGCGCATTTTTCAGAGTCGCACGCGACAGCTCGTGGAGACAGCAGCAGTTCTGGTGACATACTCTCCCCTCTGGTTTTCATAGTCCTATTATTGAATGTGGATCATTAAAATGGGTAAGTACAAAAAAAAGCCAAGTGAGGAAGAAACACTCGCAGAGTTCAGTGCGAAGGTACGGCATATACGTACTTCTCATTCCGAAGATGGGGAGGACGTAACTGCGTACATCATTTAAACGTGACGGCAGCTGCGCTCCTGGTTGAGCAGTTACGTTACAAAAAGTTGTAACTATATCCTTGTTCAAAGCAAGACAGGATGATGGTTGTCTGAAACTGAAATATTTCGTATGCTACTCATTATACGTCAGTTTAACATGAAGACGAGGCCACGCAGGCTCCATCTTCAAGATGGTGAGTGTTAGTCACCTTCACTTCAATCAAGAAAATAGGGGTGAAATAAATTGGTATTTCTTCATGTTGAACGACTTACCGGTTCCATTTCCGATAACAGCTTTAATCCTATCGGCTCATCAAGTGTGAACCTCTTTGGAAACGATCGGAATAATCTTTGATTTCAAGTGGAATTCACAAGAATGCCGCACTGTAAGAAAAAATGTTGAGCGCAAATATCTTTATTACTCTCCCTTCTCCTTCTCGTTCAGAAAGAAAACCCTCTAAGAAACGATACAGCTGCGATAGGCACTATAAAAACTTATACGGTAGTAAAACCGATGCCTGTTCCTCTCAAAGAGCGATCACGATGACTTATTACAATGTAAAAGAAAGCGCGGGTGAGCTAGTGTAGTCCAGAATGGAGAACTTTGTACCAGTTCCGCATTAGAAAGTGTAAGGTGAAGATTCTGAGCTGCTCTATTGGCTTCGCCACTAGACCCTGCCTTTGAGTATGCTAAAGGATTCTTTTGGAGAGTGACAGAAAACGGAAGCTCCTTTGGCGATGGTCGGAGGTTCATAATGAGCAGACTGGACTCGTTCTAACAAGCAGTCTTTTTGCACTGTACTCTTGCTCGAAGGGGACCCTATAAGAGGCGTTTCAGAAGTTCCCCCTTTCACAAAAAAACTTTCTAAGCAATTTAAGATCAGCCCATTACCGCACCGAAGTTTTCATGGTGCTCGTTGCCGAGACAGCTCAGCTAAAGGGTTTGTGGACTACAGATACTGTGGCCTAAGGTCCATGGCCTTTTCCAAGAAATCCTGTCGGTCAGCTACTCCTCAAGAGGCTTTCGCTTTCTTGAATAAAGCCGGATTTCTGGAGCATCCGGAAAATGTTGAAAACTTCAAAAGTCCCGAAGCCTGCAACTGCTGGTATGGCCGGTCACCTATCAGTGAATGGCGTTTTTTCCAAACGAAAATTTTTGTGTGAGAAGTGAGAACGTTCCGCGTGTGTTCTACGCTAATCGATAAACAATTGTCCGCTCCATAAGACAGTGTTGAAGCCTTCCCACTATTTCTTGCTTGTGATTGTGGCATACTAAAGAACCACCGTTCTCCGGTGATTCTTACGGCGAATGAAGTTGGTTCGAGTGAACGAGAGGTGGGAATAGACCTTGCGAATGTGCAGCTCATGGGGGTCCGTTTAGGGAGCGACTGTCTGCAGAGGGCACCCACCAACTTTCGAACGTCTAACATGAACTGCAGGTGATGCTTGAGGACAATGAGAAAGCATTCTATGACCTTCAACGATTCCCCATTCTTTGGCATGAATCTCTGTGAATAAGGTGATTCAGTTAGCTCCCAGTCGGACTTAATAGGGCATTAGGTTCGATGCTCGTTGGGTCGAAATTGAAATTTTTGAGTCGCTCAAGCCGTCGTAAGCATTGCTGAGAGACCTGTCGAACATATTCTTACAATTAGCAGCCAGGCTTGTGCAGTTTTAGCTTTCTAGTTGAAGGCAAGAACGTGGTGACTGTCGAAAACGCTTGATTTCGTCGACCTGACATTCCAGTTTGAACACTTGAATATTAGTGGAAACAAGTGCTCTAAAGAAACTAAGAGGACTGCGGTACTGTAGGGCAAGGAATTCTCTGCAAAACAGTGTAAGACCTAGTGGCAAAACGTTCCGCCTCTGTAATTATATTTCGAGTTTCTCCCTGCAAACAAAACGCCATCACTCGTGGGCCAAATCAACAGATCCTTCTTGTGCAATTGCAGAATTTTGTTATACCGTAGTCTCTCACTGAATCTGTGGTTTTCCGTGTAATGTTTGTAATAGACTAGCGGCTAATGGCGTTTGTATTCCAGAAATTTCGGCTGCGAGCTCATTTTAAAAGTGGCAAGATCAGCAAATCCGCTAAAAACTTGTATATAGGGGTAATTCAACATCCTGGTCAGGAATATGACATTCATTTTTGGCGCTGGCGCTAATGGATGACACTACGTTACCTGTGCTCTGCTAAGGCTGAGCCCAGGAGGTAAA